ACCCAGCATCCCTCTTCTCGCGCCTGCCATTCCCTTTCTCTCTTTCGGCCTGCTCAGCCCTGTTACAGTCCATACGCGACCTCTACTATCGCACCAGTACCTGGCCCCCTCCCATCGGTCAGAGTGTTTACGACCACACTTTCACACACACACACACACACACACACACACAGACAGACAGAGAGAGAGAGAGAGAGAGAGAGAGAGAGAGAGAGAGAGAGAGAGAGAGAGAGAGAGAGAGAGAGAGAGAGAGAGAGAGAGCAACAAAAGCTGACAAGATAAACATCTTTTTGCGCTGCATAAATTTACAAGTACTATTTTGAAAGGGAATGTTACGGTGGGTAACACACCACACACACACCTTTTTTTAAAGGTGATTGGGCCTTCTACGTGCCTGATACCCTTGAATAAGGTTTTTGTTCTTTTGTTCCTGTCGGCCTTCGAGGGTTCAGATACTCTTGTCATGTGGCAAAGGCCTTTTGTGCTGAGTGTCAAGTGCGTCATCGTGGAGTTGATGGAAAGAGGCTAGATTTCTCTCTATATATACTACTGAAATAGTGTGACTGTAGCGTTGTGATACACGGCACGTGTCTTTTCGTCCATTTTTTGTGTTTACTCAATTAAAAACAATTGAAATTGTGTTGTTTTTTTCGGGTTTGCGAGGGTTTGGCGAGTCTATCCCATTCTCTGTGGGTGGTTGGCGGGAGCTCTGGTGTGGTTTGCTTCTTCTTTCCTATCAAACATTATCGTCCTTATCTCCCCTACTTCTTTTTGTGTTTGTTACTCTCTTGTAACACCTTTAATCTTCTGCACTTATATGACCTTGTTGGGTTGCAAGTGCCGTAAAACTCTTACTTAAACTAAAACCAATTGTGTTTTTTCGGGTTCGCGAGGGTTGTGCGATTCTATCCCATTCTCTTTCTGTTGATAGTAGGTGGGCTTTGCGGCGCGCCATGCCGTCTGCTCTTTCTACTTTTTCAGTTATGTTATTTTCTCTCTTAAAGATCTAGTTTCATGGTCTGTTCCTGTGGGTGGTTCGAGAGTGATCTGATGTGGTTTGTTCCTTCTTGCCTGTCAAGCATCTGCCGTCCTCATCTCAACTTCTTCAAAGCACTTAACACGAATATCCCACTTGGTGGGACGTTAAACTCGGAAGTCCCGCCTCTTAAATAACCTAATAGTGTTGACAGGGGCGTTAAACCTATTTTTCACCTTCTTTTTTTCTTTGAACGTTACTCTCCTTTAGCACCCCCCTTAGTCTTTGTCACTCATAATTATTACCTACCTGTATGTAGCAAGTGCCATAAAACTCGTCGTCCTCAAACTAAAATCGTACAGCCTGTTCCTGGCGACATTTCACTGCCATTAGATACGCCCAGAGAGTTTACAGTAATACTACTGTAAACCCTCTCTGATACGCCCACTTGACGCGAACCTGCGTGTGGAATGATGGGTACACCGACGCACCGGTAGCTCCTGCATTTTTAAAATTCTTTCTCTCTGTGGTTCTACTGTCTGTGTGTCTTGCTATTTTTGCTTTTCACTCGCACAATATTATGTAGGCTAGCCATTCATGTTCGGATTTGGTTCTCTTTGCAAAAAAATTCAGTGTAAACTACCAGTCGTATCGTTATTTTAGGGAACAGCGCGCGCGCGTGTGTGGGTTTATGGGTGTGTGTGTGT